TTGATTAACTACTTCAAGTGGAATTACAGGGTCAAAGAATTAACTTTATAACAGTTTCGTTGAGATATAATTCACATAGCTTAACATTTACCCTTTAAAACTACCTAAGTCAATCACTTTTAGTATATTTATAGTTGTACAACCATCACCACTACCTAATTTTAGAATATTTTCAACATTCCAAAAGGAAATTTATACTCGTTAGTAATCACTTCACATTTCCCTCAACCCCTGAAAAGGCATTATTTAAGCATCTTAATATATATTGCCCAACATATGTGTATTTCAAAAGGCTGTCCAAGCAGTAGTATAGAAAATTACATTTTTCCACCTCTCTCCCAGAATTACATATTTTCATTCTTTTAAATTTAATAAGCAGAAATTAGTAACTCATTTCCATTTGATTTTTTAAAATTACTAGTAAGAATGAAATTTTACATGTCCATTGATTATTTTGTATATTTTCATTTCATACATGTCCATCCCCTTTGTCAGGGGCTAGAAATCCAATTTAATTATCAGTCTAAATAAAATACCTCTTAAAATATCAATCTAGTATAATAAAAAATTTCAGAACCAAATACAACCATTTTGAAATTAACTATACCATGGGTCCTCACTTTCAATACACCTAAGTTTTGCCATAATTATAAAGTAATAACCACATCTATTTCTAATCACAAAAAGATACTATTTCTGGATTCTTTTGTTATTACAGAGTAAGCCTTTCTCTGCAACACTTCAGAACAAAGCCTTCCGTCCAATGGGGACAGAAAGCTCATTATTACACAGTACTTGTGGCTGTCTGGTTATGAGCCAGTCACTGGTAAATTAGAAGGATAAAATCAACCCAACCCACATCATGTTGAAGGAGCTCTGGTGGCACAGTGGTTAAAGCATTCGGATGCTGGGATAGTTGTTGCTTGCACAAAACCAGCTACTTGCTAATGACCTACTGTGAGAAATGGTAATGAAGTGCTCAGCCTTAAAATCAGGACAGTTAAAAACTGAAGGCAAACAAAGCAAAGTCAACCAAGCCATCCTTAGGAGGCTTTGGGAGCTCTGGTAGCATAGTGGCTAAGGCACTTGACTGCTAACCAGAAGGCTGGCGGTTCAAACCCACCAGTCACTCCTCGGAAGGAAGATGGGGCAATCTACTTCCGTAGTGATCCTGCCTCCGAAACCCAAGGAGGGGTCGCTATGAGTCAGGTCCGACTTGACGGCACATAACAACAACAACAACAACAGGCTACCAAAAGCAACAAGAAGAAACCTCCAAAGACTATCAGAAACATTTGCTCAATAGATTTCATCTGAAATTTGATGGGCAGGTTTTGTTTTTTGTTTTTAAAGAACAAATGCCTCTACTTATATGGGCCCACCCTTCAATTACCTATTCCTCAGTATTGGTTGTTTTTTTGTTTTTGTTTTTTTCCGTCAAATGTTAACCTTTTACATCAGAAATGCTCTATACTCTTCTCTGATTTTTGTTTGTTTTCTGGTGAGGGAGATAAACACCAAACAGTTTCATCTGTGAAAACAATGTATTTGATAATAGCTTCTAGAAGTCAAGTCTGGTTCACTCCTGCCAGTGACTGTAAAGGAGACCCCCTCATACAAAGTTCTCTACAGAGAACGAGCTTGTGGACAGCGCAGGATCAACACTTCCGATTCAAAGGTCACCTTGAATCTCACAACAGAAAAACTGGAAATGAGCTCAGCAGGGTATGCCCTTCAAGGAATGGGGTGGGCTTCCAGGGTTCCTTCATCCTCCCCTCATCTCCAACATTAGGAGAGAAACCAGAAAGTTAAAGGGAATTGTTCTTTCCTAATCCTGTCAGGATACACTCTTGTTGGCTCAGATCCTCTTCTCCGATATTCTCAACCCCAAAGACAGGACTGAGCCTGATGACTGCACAAGCTATCGGAACGGAAGACCTGACTTGTCTGTTGTTACTCTTGAGATGATAACAGTTCAGTGACCAGAAGCAACCTAGGCCAAGAGATCTCTGATAGGGCCACCATGATTTCTCTGGAACCTGAAAAATAAAGTGAAATATTATAGTGGCAAGGAGCCTACATCTATCTCCAACTTTTTAAGACATTCACAAGTATAGAACACTGAAAGTGACTTGAATTCTGCTGATCTTTTTGGTACTCCTATCTAACCTCAAAAGGAGCTCTGGTAGCATAGTGGCTAAGGCACTTGACTGCTAACCAGAAGGCTGGCGGTTCAAACCCACCAGTCACTCCTTGGAAGGAAGGTTGGGCATTCCTACTTCTGTAGTGATACTGCCT